AGTTATTACGAAGGAATAAACAAGAATTGACAACAGTTGAGGGTCAGAGAGTAGAAGTAGTGCGTTGTTAGTAACAAGCGTTAGTGACAGGCGTTAGTGACATGGCTGTGACGGAGGAATATTGAATTAGCTACTGACAGAGATGGCTCATACTGGTAGCAGTCTAGCAGGTATAGCCAAGACGGAAGCTACTGTGGCCTCTGGCTGTTGTACGTCGTCTGAGAATACCGGCAGAGCGCGGTGTTTTGTGGGGGGACTTTGCTGTAGTGAATGAACCCAGCACTTTGATCTTCAGAGGCGTGCCGGTAGTGATGGAGCGAGAGAAACGAAAACTCTTTGAAGCTTTTGATGAAGCAGACACAGCTGTACCCCTCATCAGGGTTAGTAAGGCCACGATTCTGCCCCCCCTCTCTCTCTCTCTCTCTCAGCCACCAGCACCAAGTAAATAACTTTTGCTGGAAAATGTTACAATAACAAGTGCCTTGATTAATAAAGGACGTAAAATACAATAACTTAGAACTGGAGAGTCTGCGAAGGACCCTTCGGACTCCAAACGATACAGCGAAATTAACTTCCTAGGAGGACCAGAGAACAGAGGGGTGTTGAGACCCCCGGATGAATCGCTTGAAAAATAAAAAAAAATATCTCCACCCCTTTTCAGCAGCCTAAATATTTGCACGGAACATGAGGCAGTGGAAGAAAAATATATAAAAGGGACCTCTGACAGAGGAGATGCATGCAGCTGTATGCCGCTGTATTCGTGGGGTGAGGAGTAGGAGCGTCCCCAAGCACCTCTTACACTACACGCTTGGGGACCTTCACTCTCCATTTTTACGATTCACCTGCCAGGGGGAAATTCTATTCATGTATTTCATTCACAATTCCCCAGGACGCTTGAACGGTGCGTGCTGCTACTGTGATCACATAGTAACTTAACCACTTCTCTCTCGTGTGTATGTACTATATATATATATATATATATATATATATATATATATATATATATATATGTACTCTTCCCTATATGTGCTCTCTCCAATGACAGTACGTATAGAGGTTGTGGAAACATATGAACGAAAATAAGGATTGAGGAACCCCACTCAAAAAATTCCAATTTGTGTCCTATTGGTGGTGGTGCTACTTCAATACTCCACCAGAACCCCACCCCCAACCATCCCATACATACCACATCCCCCAACATAAAATTCTTCCACATTTTAGCCTACATTCACCTCCACCGCCCACCCCCAACCCACCTCCATTCCTTCCCCATACCCCTAACACAACCCACTTCCCTATTCCTTCTCCACCACAGCCCACCTCCACCCTGCCCCGCCTCCCTCCACAAGACAAAATTCGTCATCTCAGTCACAGATACATCACAAAACAGTTGAGAACTTCCAGTGGTACATTTTCATACTACTAATTTTCAAGTTTCAAAGTTTTTTTGTATACGTCTAATATGAGCTTCGTGATGAGCTGGAGTTGGAAAAATTGGCTGGTGCATATTTCCAGGTTCTAAGTCTCCTCCTTTGTCTCTTGACGGAATTGTCCCCTATCACTATCTATATCTATCTATATATATATATATATATATATATATATATATATATATATATATATATACATTCCGACTACTGTTGGCAGGTTAAGACGTTTCGTTAGGTTTCTTTGACCTATGCTAATTGTACAGGTTTATTTATGTGGGCCGTACCACCTTACTTGCGTACATTCCCATGTAAATTGTCCTCTATATTTCCTTGGAAATAAACAATCCATTTACCTGGGCTCTGGCAGACTCGAAACGCGGACCCCACGAGTGCGAGCGTAGCTCTGTGCTACTCAATCGCTCTATTGACCGAGGTATTGAGCATTATAGAGTTCGGTTAATAGAACTTCGGCCTCACACGCGTGGAATCCATAGTTCGAGTTTCTTATAGATTCCATTTAAATGGTACATTCACATGTACTTTCAACTTATCCAATATCTATTCCAATATTTCTTACCTGACTCTTATTCTTCACCTTTCTGGCCTATATCATCTCACTCTTGGCTTCATCTCTCACTCTTGCTTCATAAACTGACTTCCTCCGCCACTTTTTTACGGGTTATTCATGCCCGTGCCACCTCTAGGGTGGCTTAATCTTCATCAATCAGTCAATCCAACACTCTTTTCTTCTCCCACGACACGAGTTGATTACGGTCCTGGACGGATGGAATGACGTTACTTCGTGTATTTTCAGATGTATGTTTTGGGTGTGTATTTTTCACGTTACTGTGACGTACTGTCCTTGTATGTATGAATGTATGTATGTACTCACCTAGTTGTGCTGGCGGTAGTTGAGCTCTAGCTCTTTGGTCAGGCCTTTCAACTGGTGTACAGATTCCTGAGCCTACTGGGCTCTATAATATGTACATTTGAAACTGTGTATGGAGTCAGCCTCCACCACATCACTGTCTAGATGTATGTATGTATGTATGTATGTATGTATGTATGTATGTATGTATGTATGTATGTATGTATGTATGTATGTATGCATGAGGTATTGAAGATGACAGAGAGGGTTACATGCGGGGTGGAAAACCCTGGGGCCTTTTATAAAACTCAGCCCAACTTTCAAAAGCAATTTAAATTAATGAAACATTGATCTGTAAGAATGCTTTTGACGTTCAGGTACACAGCGCATAATACCATCAAAGTGCAGCCTTATGAAACCGTCACTAAGTAAAATATAGCTCCCGTATGAAGACAGGTTATCGAACCCTTGAGTTAGAGCAATGATTCCAAGACGAATCTTCTCTTCAATATATATTTTATTTTGTATTACTTGCGATGGAAGTTGAAAAATTTACTCTCCAAAGTTCATTTTGTGATTTGACTCTAAGAGATGAGTTTCTTTGACCTTGTGATAATCTTCCAGGGGTACTGGGGGAAGGGAAGAGAATTTTTAGGGGGAAAGCGCCAAGCCATTGCGACTATATACCCCTTGGAAGGGGTCAGGATAAGGATTTGGGATGGGACGGGACGGAATGAATGGTGCCCAACCACTTGGACGGTCGGGGATTGAACGCCGACCTGCATGAAGCGAGATCGTCTCTCTACCGTCCAGCCCAAGTGGCTGGAGAGGAGGTACTGAGGGAGCGAATACAAGTTTAGTTAATGCCCCATGTATTTTTTACCCATTAGTTATCATGTTGAGCACTTGGCATCAGATAAGTGATATCTGTTATCAAAGAAGATAACTGGCTTATCACACGACCAGCTGTGTTCTGTCATAATCTAATATTAATGGAATAAAAGAGTCCTTACCGAGAATCAAGACAGTAGTTCTAATAAATTAACTGGGAATTAAGTGGAACTTACCCAGAAATCATGGGTTGAATTAGTGAGGACATTTATCTTCAAAGAAGCGAGTAAAAGATACTCGAGTGAGCATTAGAGATTCCCACCTGTACAACAGTATTTATTTCTCTGTTACCGCCTATTTGTTTAATAGTTTTACCATGCACAAATGATGACGCTTAATACACGCAAATGATGATTGTGTATCAAGTTGATACACACAATCGACCTGAGAATGGTCCAGGACGGACCGAAACGTCGTCGTCCCTTCACCTTCTAGTGTGTGGTCCGGTCAACACGCTTAAAAGTACAATTAGATATATTACAGGCAATGGAAGTCTTACGAGTTCCTTATATATCGGGCAAGAACACAGGAGGCTACAGGCATTTCCTTGCTGGATTGTCATTAAGTGCGCTGCATAAGATAGCTGGCTGCTTTTGAGTCTTCTGTTCTTTCGATGATCCTAGGACCCAAATCTTTAAGGAATCATGTGGCATCTGTTCCAAAGCTATGGGGGTATGACGGCTGAGTGGACAACGCTCAGGATTCATAGTGATTAGAGTTCGAACCTATGCGTTGGGTGTTCCCAGGCGCGTTCTAGTCGACTGTATCAGGACAAAGGTACAGTCGGTTACCACTGTAGTCAACTGTACCACGTTTTCCTTTCAAGTAATATTATTATATCTAGGGAACCATTAGGGTTGGAATAATTAAAAAACATTATAAAATACGGTTCTCCCTCATCTGGGTACTGGGTGGTGAATAGCGCATTGGCTTCGTTGAGTCTTGTGTGTCCTGTTGCATCTTGGAGACTCACAATTCAGCCCATTTTCTTCGGTTTCTCCTTCGATCGAAATACACATATATTCAGTGTTGATTAGAGCAGCGAGGCGGAGTGCCACTGCAGTGCCAAGGGACTCGTGGCACTCGCCTGTTGAAGACAAGGTGAGGGCCAAAAGAACTCGACATTGATTATCTGAACATGTCAGTTAATACTTCATCTGTGACGCGTAGGTTAGAGACTATTTCACATTTGGAAATTGAAAAACCACATTAGTTGCTGAACACCTTAACTCACACATTTATTCCATCATAACTTAATATATGTACATTATTATATTCGTTACAAAATATTAAATAATACTAATAATACTAATAGATTTGGTAATAAAAACTAAATGTAGCATAAATGACATTCTTGACACCATTGATGAGAATAGCGTGTGTGTGTGGGGGGGGGGGGGGGGAGTGTGTGTGTGGGATGGGGGGAGTGTGTGTGTGGGGGTGGGGGAGTGTGTGTGTGTGTGGGGGGGGGGGGTGTGTGTGTGGGATGGGGGGAGTGTGTGTGTGGGGTGGGGGAGTGTGTGTGTGTGTGTGTGTGTGTGTGTGTGTGTGTGTGTGTGTGTGTGTGTGTGTGTGGGATGGGGGGAGTGTGTGTGTGTGGGGGGGGGGGGGGGAGTGTGTGTGTGGGATGGGGGGAGTGTGTGTGTGGGGTGGGGGAGTGTGTGTGTGTGTGTGTGTGTGTGTATGTGTGTGTGTGAGTTTATTTACTATTTGTGTCTGCTGAATCGAGCTATTAGCTCTTGGACCCCGCCTTTCTAACCAATCAATTTGTTTATATTACATCTACTACATACATTTCTCTCTAACACACCCCCAGGAAACAGCCCGTAGTAGCTGTCTCCCAGGAACCTATTTACTGCTCGGTGAACAGGTCCATCAGGGTGAAAGAAACTCTGCCCATTTGTTTCTGCCTCGCCAGGGAATCGAACCCGGGCCCATAAGACTACGACACCCGAGCGTAGTGTGTGAATGGCAGTATGATTGCACAAAAAATAGTGACATAAATTATCAGACTAATCTGATGAATCTTTCCCAGTGAAGGGCCTAACCACTTGGGCTGGACGGTCTCGCGTCATGCAGGTCGGCGTTCAATCCCCGACTGTCCAAGTGATTGGGCACCATTCCTTGCCCCCGTCCCATCCCAAATCCTTATCCTGACCCCTTCCCAGTGCCATATAGTCGTAATGGCTTAGTGCTTTCCTTTATAAAATTTATAATTTATAATTTCCCAGTGAGAAATCACTGGGAAATCATTAACCAGAATTTGTCATTAATCACTACATCACTAAATGTTGACCATTTAGTGTTGTAGTGTAGTGGTGCTACTGTTGCTGGCGAAGACGTCCACCAGGTACTGGAGCCCGAGGAGACACTGTCGTAGAGCCATGAAGCCTCTTCGGTACTTGCTGGTGTTACTCGTGTAGATGTAGATCTTCCTGGAGAGCTCGCTGACGGGGGAGACGTCGGGCACGACCCCACAGTGTTCAATACCCTGAAGGAAGACCGCATTCAGCGCCTCCATCAGGCGATACACCTCATCCATCTCCCTCATGAAGGATCTCTCGTTGGCGGAGGGTTCCGTGAGAGATTGATCCAGAAAAAGCTGCTCGAGAGCAATGATATACTGCTGGATGAACCCTGCGACCTTTGCCATCTCTTGCCTGACCTCCTGGCGCGTGGTGGGGGGGTGGTGGGGTGACGGAGGCAGCGTCGGTAGCACCTGATCACAACCGCTTCCGTCACACACCGTCAGGTGACGATGGTCGTGATTCCTGTTGAAGAAGGCGTCGATACCGGCCCAGGAAGTGAAGAACTTCGTCCCGACCTGTTGGAGATAAGATAAATAGTGCTCTGAGAGAGTCGCAATCGATATTATCTATTACCATAGTAATAAATAATTCTGCTACTTTTCCTACTGCTAAGAACGATGTTTATAATATACATTCAGTCAAATTTTATATCGGGACTACCATAGTCTTCCCGGCTTGGTGCTTTCAGTTGATAATAACTTTCTTGGTAAAAAAATTTTCAGAGCATTTTTAAAAAAGTACTCAAATTTACACCTATCAATTCAATACAAATTCAATAATATGAACCACAGTTCCACTAAGGAGCCATAGTGAACTTAATAACAAAATTTGAATCATTCTTTTATCTTATTTATGTAATTATTGTTATTCATTGCAAATATGCAAGGAGTTTTATACGAATGTAAAAACATGAAGACTGTATGAACATGTAGACTGAATGAACATGAAGACTGTATGAACATATAGACTGAATGAACTTGAAGACTGAATGAACATGAAAGACTGAATGAACATGAAAGACTGAATGAACTTGTAGACTGAATGAACTTGTAGACTGAATGAACATGAAGATTGAAGCAAACATGAAGGAAAAAAGTGAAACACTCACATAATCCTCCTTAAAGTTGTTTATGACAGACATAGCCACCCTGGCCTGTATCACAGCGATATTCTGAAGAACAGTGTTGCACAGCATCTCTTGCTCTCCCGTTGATCTCCGGAGACGTGGGGATGAATCTGTGGAGATGTTGGAGGCTGGAGGCTGGCTGGAGGTCAGGTTGACGGCCTCTCCACTAGACGTGGTGTTTGGACGGGGTTCGACTCCCTGGTTAACGAACAATTGTTGGAAGGGAAGGGTCCAGGCGGAGGCTGTGGTAACGAAGACTGCCACCAGGAGATAACGAGATGCAGCTGTTGACGTCATCATGTTATCAAACGGGGGATAACAATGCACGGTAAAAGAGCTTTGAACAAATCCACAAGGGCCGTGACGAGGGTTCGAATCTACGTCCCCAGACGCTGCCTTTATCGCAGCGTCTGGGAGGCTCTCGGACGTAGGTTCGAAGCCTCGTCACGGCCCTTCTGGATTTGTTCATTTGATGCATCACGCTATTGTGATTTCTGTGTGTAATAAAGGAGCTTTCGAGGAATGGCTAGCCTTTAATCTTTATTAAATAAATTAATTTAATAAATTAAATTTAAATGATGTAAATATAACATAAATTTATAAAAAAAATAAAATAGAATATATGTTTTTCTGTAGATAACTATAAAAAAGTCATTGTAACAGTAACGAACCTAACAATTGGGACAAACTCTCAACCAAAACAACAATGATAAAGATATTCACGTGTATCACTCTGAAACCCTCCCAAAAGTATGAAGTTTTATATTTCTAAATATAAACAGAAATTAAAATTTTTGCAGAAAATTAGAAAATAATTATATACTTCATGAATTAGTATGAGATATCAAACGCTGTATTAGCGACCTCTACCTAGAACCTACTAGGTTCTAGTTGGACCTACTAGGTCCTAGTAGGACGTACTAGGTCCTAGTTGGACCTACTTGGTCCTAGTAGGACGTACTAGGTCCTAGCAGGGTGAAGCTGCCTACTAATACACGGTAGCAAGGAAGAGTTTGCAAGTGGACCAATGCAAGATCTCTCGGATGAGTTAGGAAAGACCTGAACAAGTATTAGTTTGGAAATCTAATTGATTTACTTAAATCAACTTGATTTAAATCAGGTTGTTGATTTAATGGAACAAATTACCTGGCACTTAACGTAATAGACGTGGGATCGATGGATTGTTTCAAACGTAGTTTAGACATATATATGAATGAATTCGGATGGATATAAATAGTAACTGCCTCGTATGGGCCAATAGACTTTCAGTAGTTTTCTCAATGTTTATGTCCTAATGACAAGCGCTGGCTGAGTTAGGGAGAAACACCCACCTGCACTTGTAAGGCGAGGTGGGTGTCCCACCTGTCTGTTACCTAAGTGGGTGTCCCACCTGTCTGTTACCTAAGTGGGTGTCCCACCTGTCTGTTACCTAGGTGGGTGTCCCACCTGTCTGTTACCTAGGTGCGTGTCCCACCTGTCTGTTACCTAAGTGGGTATCCCACCTGTCTGTTACCTAGGTGGGTGTCCCATTCCTACCACCAGTGGAACTTGGGACAATTAGAATACCAGTCCGACATGGTACGGCACAATATATATCAATTTCTATTAGTACTTCCTCCGTCTATTGTATATCAGAGATGGAATAGAACATATTCATAAGGGCTGTGTAGAGGGTTCGAACCTACGTCCGGGATGATGCCAGACATTGTTCATTTGATGTAACACGCTATTGTGATTTGTGTGTGTGTGTGTGTGTGTGTGTAGAGACAGAAAGTTTAAGAAGTCGATTATTTATTTCAGTGTCATTAAAAGCTTGTTTTTCTAAAATATGGAATTTTGAGAGTGGGTTATCTTCTATATATTGGGAAATTTTGATATAAAGAAGATACCAGAGACAACCAAATTAATTCGGATGAGAGATAAAATTTTTACTCTACTAATGAGATCATCGAATATTTTTAGCAACAAATTATTCATAAATAATACGTAAGAGAAATAAGTATTTTGGTTCCGAAGTTGAAACATAAGGACATATATACCGAAAGGTGTACACAATTGATCTATTTATATACTGAGAGTTTACACTAGTCCAAGACAAAAGTTTACCTGGTGGTTGATCAGTAAACTGATGTGGTGGCCTCAATAACCCTCAGATTATTGGTAGATAAGAACATAAGAACAAAGGTAACTGCAAAAGGCCTATTGGCCCATACGAGGCAGCTCCTATCTATAACCACCCAATCCCACACATATACTTGTCCAACCCTCGCTTGAAACAATCGAGGGACCCCATCTCCACCACGTTACGCGGTAATTGATTCCACAAATCAACAACCCTGTTACCGAACCAGTATTTACCCAAGTCTTTCCTAAATTTAAACTTATCCAATTTATACCCATTGTTTCGTGTTCTGTCTTGTGTTGATACTTTTAATACCCTTAGATCTTAAGCCCAACACCAAATCAGTAATCCTTGAACCTCCTACATGTACGAGAATCAGGAAAATAATATTTGGTCACAGTAAGAACTGTTTTACGTGACTGAACTCTTACCCATGTCTACGGTGAAGGCTGGACAAGAATGCAGGACAAATCACGCGTTTAGCAGAGTCGAAGGGAAAGAGTGAACTTCTTCAGTCTTGAGCAGACACAGTCAACCTCCAGCAGACACAGTTAACCTTCAGCAGACACAAGGAGGTGAGGTGAGCTGTAAGACAGGTACCACCAGTCTGGTGTCACGTCTGTCACTCCCGTCTCTTTTATCCTGTCCGGCCTTATCTCCTCACCTTCTCTACCAGGAAACGTACACAGACGTTCAACTGTGTAAGCTACGTCACGAATGTCTTAGAAACAATCATTTCTCCTTGCCCTTTGCCTCTTCCTTCATCTCTTGCAATTGCTTACGCCAAGATCTTATCTCTCGCCTAATGATAAGGGCGTCGAGTGGGCCAAGGATGCCCCATGGCACGTATCCAAACGATCTATCAGGTAGTTTTATCCTAAATCATCTTAACTCTCTGCTCATATGATTCTTTACATCATCACTGTTCTTTATATTTTACAAGTTGCGTCCAAGAATAATTCAATGCCTTAGCTATATCCCGGAAGTCTATGGGCCATGGACGTCACTAGACGAGCGACGTCATAGCAGCTGTGACGTCGCTATGACGTCTGGTCCCTGGTGACGGCAAGCGGATACATGCCGAGAAAAATAGACAATTGATTAACGCCAGCCAATGGGAATTATTAAGAAGCCGTCTCATAAGAAGCAAGGAATAACGTAGCGCAGTAGTCTGCGCTTTCGGATTAAAACCAAACTGTCCCAAGTTAGCTCAACAGGCTTCGTGTCCACTTCACAGTCTCTGTTGTCACTGCCCTTATATAATAGGATCAAACTTACCGCTGTGGGATTTTCAGACATTCTATATACAACAGTTTACAAGGGAAAACGTCCCCATTGAATAGAATATATTCTTCCCAAGTGGAAATCCATACAAATTTCCCCTCTCCCGATATTATTATGAATCAGCTGACTGAACATGAGATGAACAACCCGCGTTCTAATTGGCCAGATGTATTCGCTGGTTGTATGTATTTCTCTGTTTACACTTTTAATATGGGAGACATTGCTGTCGGCCTTGTATGCGTGATGTTCCGCCCACTCCCATGCTAATGCAATTTAATGAAATTTAAGCCTTTGCTTTTATCTTGAAAAGGTTCCCATGCTGATATCCTGATTAGCTAGACTATTGTATGAATGAAACCTGTATTTATCCGATGGTTCTACAACCTGCCTGTTTAGGAACCCACTGTTGGAACGTGACAAGTCCCGTTGTGAAAACAGAGATCTGTTGGGTATTGAATGAAGTGTATTTTTTGGAATAAAGGGTATTTTTTTTAATGGGTATTCATTCCAATCTTCATGTTACTGAGATCATTCAGTGGTTTCCGCGACGTATGGTGAGTTAGAATGACGTATGCAATATGGCCGGAGGTTTGCGTTTCATCCATAAAGAATTAACTCAAATCTACTTGATGCAGTGTGTTCAAAAGTTTACTGTAAACCGAACACAAATCTTATCCAGAGCGTCGCCTGGTACACCCCTTCCCTCAGTGTCTAATATCCAAATTACAGTTTTTTTAGAGTCAAATTTATATGCGCTGTTAATTTACTATAAGCATCATTTTACATCAGAACTGCTAAAAAATATGTTGTCTGTTGGATTAGTGAAGGTTTTTAACCTTCAATTAAAATTATTTCGAGACCAAATGCAATCACATGGCTTCACTTAATTGTGAATTCATGTGCTTGCAATTTAAGCAATTGGGCTTCAACTTGTATGTATTAATGTAAATCGGTATAAAATTTAGCTATATAAAAAGTAAGAGCTACTTCAAATAGAGTTATTGGCTCTCTAGTGGTGGGGTGTAAAGGTGGTCAGATGCTGGGCTGGTCCCACCGCTGCCACCAATAAAAGAGTCACCTAGTGAGTTGTGGGATCCAGTTCCATCACCATCACCTTTTTGCACCTTTTTCTTCTGAACACGGAAAAAATTTTATTCCTATTCCCTAGGGACATAGGGAATCTATTCCCTAGGGACATAGGGAATCTATTCCCTAGGGATATAGGGAATCTATTCCCTATGGATATTGGGAATCTATTCCCTAGGGATATAAGGGGATAGGGACAAATCAACCCGTTCTCGCACTTGCTTTCAGTCAATATTGGCTTATTTAATAAGTGCATATGTGACATACTAATTGATTGTGAATATTTTAGTTTACCTTGAAAAGCTTCATAGAAAACACCGACCTCACCTAACCTTCTTAGTATGTTAAGATAAGCATCTTATTGCTTCCTAATTACAATTATTACTTAACCTATCAACGGTATAGGTTAGGTTATCTTCTTGAGATTATCTTGAGATGATTTCGGGGCTTTAGTGTCCCCGCCGCCCGGTCCTCAACCAGGCCTCCACCCCCAGGAAGCAGCCCGTGACAGCTGACTAACATCCAGGTACCTATTTTACTGCTAGGTAACAGGGGCATAGGGTGAAAGAAACTTTGCCCATTGTTTCTCGCTGGCGCCCGGGATCGAACCCGGGACCACAGGATCACAAGCCCCGCGTGCTGTCCGCTCGGCCGACCGGCTCCCTATCTTGAAAGGGTTTACCCAAATAGGTGAATACACACACACACAGGTCCTCGCGGCCGAGTGAAAACACATTGAAAAATAGAGTGAACAGCCTCCAGAGTGTTACAAAAAGGGTACTGAAACGCAAGTGAGTCAAATTCAAAGTTATGAAGATAGAAATAAGAATAAAAATATCCAAACTTCAGTAAAGAATGAAGAGAATGCATCGTTCTTCCTCAGAAAAAAAAATATTACAAACTTTATTTCAACACAATCGACTTGAGAATGGTCCAAGACGGACCGAAACGTCGTCATCCCTTCACTTTCTAGTGTGTGATCTGGTCAACATGTTAGTACAGACTTTTCTCACATTCTAACATCAAAGGAACACATCAACCGAATAATCTCGACAGCATGAGCCAAATGACTGATGCTCGTGTAGACTTCAAGAACTAGGAGAAAGGAATCTCCCGAATGTTTCATACAACTTTCATGAGACCCATGACACCTATGTCCCTATGCTATCCCTATGACCCTATGCTGTCCCTATGTCTCTATGCTGTCCCTATGTCTCTATGCTGTCCCTATGTTTCTATGCTGTCCCTATGCTGTCCCTATGACCATATGCTATCCCTATGTCCCTATGTCTCTATAGTGTCCCTATGCTGTCACTATGTCCCTATGTCTCTATGCTGTCCCTATGTCTTTATGCTGTCCCTATGACCCTATGCTGTCCCTATGTCTTTATGCTGTCCCTATGACCCTATGCTGTCCCTATGTCTCTATGCTGTCCCTATGTCTCTATGCTGTCCCTATGTCTCTATGCTGTCCCTATGTCTCTATGCTGTCCCTATGTCCCTATGACCATATGCTGTCCCTATGCTGTCCCTATGTCTCTATAGTGTCCCTATGCTGTCACTATGTCTCTATGCTGTCCCTATAGTGTCCCTATGTCATTATGTTCCAATGGCAAAGACTGCCGGGGACCTTGGGAAACCCGTCTGTAAGACTCATCAGGACTCCTGTCATTTTGAATTCATCAAACACCTCGCAGACGCATTCATCACCCTTCAAGACGACCATCAAGGTTTTGATGATGCCGTGATCCTCTTCGGGGTGGACCGAGTGAACGAGGTGATTAGACGGTTGCTTGTTTCCCTTATGGAGTAAGCGTAGTCATTACTGAATCTATCTGGAATATTGAGTAAAAATGATTCATAAAGGAACATGAAGAACAGTATCAGGTTTAACCCAACAACCATTAAATGAAAACTATGTTCTAAGCCGGAGAAAACCTTATAGATACACTGCAATATTTTCAGGATTCGACACACGTTTTCCCCTTGCCAGTGTAGTCAACCCCACGGCCTCGGGGACGGCCTGAAGGACTCGCCAAGGAAAAATGCGAGGATCTTGTTGCTTAATTTCATAACTTGGATAAGTACCTCACCTGCAGGTACTTCGGTAAGGTCGAAGTTGTGGTGGAGTGGTGTTTTACTTAGCTAGTTATGGGGCACTAGTTGGAAGTCATCTGTTGGGAGTCATTTGTTGGGAGTCATCTGTTGTGAGTCATCTGTTGTGAGTCATCTGTTGTGAGTCATCTGTTGTGAATCCTCTGTTGTGGGGCATCTGTTGTGAGTCATCTGTTGTGAGTCATCTGTTGTGAGTCATCTGTTGTGAGTCCTCTGTTGTGGGGCATCTGTTGTGAGTCATCTGTTGTGAGTCATCTGTTGTGAGTCCTCTGTTGTGGGGCATCTGTTGTGAGGCACTAGTTGTGAGTCATCTGTTGTGAGCCATCTGTTGTGAGTCATCTGTTGTGAGTCACCAGTTGTGAGCCACCAGTTGTGAGTCACCAGTTGTGAGCCACCAGTTGTGAGCCACCAGTTGTGAGCCACCTCATATGAGTAACCAGTTGTAAGTCTCACATGCCAGCTTCTCAAACTATTATACAGTAGAAATACTTACAAAGACAACCTGTACCAGACCTATAACATAAATTAAATGTTTCATCAATACTGTAACGAACATATATGAATTTAATATTGATTAAGAACTTAAATCATACCCTGTAGTTGAGTTCTCTATGACCCTCTGCGATGATGCATTCAAGCCAATTACCGCTGTAAACGAATGACCATGGCAAGGTGTCCACTATCCCCCCTCGGAATATGTATACGATGCATAATAAGTGAAAACTAAACTGGCATGTCAATGGGAGAATAGACATTCTCCCATAGACATTTACAGTCTATAAACCTCTCTTCGTCCTTACGAACTATTCTCTTCTGAACCAGTTTGGTACTTCACCCGCTGGTGACCAAAACCACTAACCTCAATCAGCATCCTTATCAAGTGATAGAAAATGAGATGATTAGATAGTTGAATTTCAGATTGAATTAACACGAGATAACGAGAGATTGCACGTCACCAGGCCCTGAGAATGTATTACCAGAGCAGATAACATGTTGGTATGTGTAGAGCAGGTACCTGGTCACCAGGCCCTGAGAATGTATTACCAGAGCAGATAACATGTTGGTATGTGTAGAGCAGGTACCTGGTCACCAGGACCATACATCATGTTGTCATGGCCAGCAGAGAAGTACCATGTATAGA